CGCCACTCCCTAGGATTGTTCTGAATATACCCCTATTTTTTATTTTGAAATCAAAAAATATTTAGGAAGTGCTCACAGCGCTCAAAGTTTTTCGTGTATTTTATATGGGGAAAAAACGACTTTTCGTAGAAATGGTATAAAATTCTTGAAAATGAGTATTTTCGATCGGAAAACTGTGGTTCTCTTCAGGAGACTTCCAATATTAATATCCAATTGTTTATTTAACCATTTTTTTAAATTAAAAAATTTTTATTGGTCCCCCATTGCATTTTCTGGGGGTTTTGGAGGACCTATAAAATATAGTTAGCATGAAAAAATGGTTAAAGAAAAAATTGGGTATTATTACTGAGCGCTTTGAGCACTCCCTAAATTTAAAAAAAAAAAAAAAAAAAATTGTGATATATTTTTTCGGTATAGAACAACCCTAGGGGGTGGCGGCATTAAAAATCCGAAATTATTTTTTCACATACATTTTTGGACCACTTTAATGTACATATGTACATATGTGTTGTTCGCTCAAATTTGAAGCCGCCCGTATTGATGTATTTTTTATTTATTTTTTCTTACTGTGTCGCTTGGCGCTATTGTTAACACAGATAACAGTGCTTTGTCGAACAATTGTATTGCGGTAATAAATTATGCAATTACGTTTTTTTTATACATCTTTTGCTTTGCCCATATTTTGGCTGCTTTGCGACAGTCGCGCCAGTCAACAATGCTCTTACAATGCTTTTGACCCACAAGTAAAAATATTTTTTTCGGTTTATTTTAATTCATGCGTCCGAAAATCCACTTGAAGTATCTTAAATTCGGGAGTTGGATTGAAGACAATGCCGCTGCTTTGACTATTCTACATTACTATTCTATCCTATTCTAAATTTAATAAGAAAAAAAATGACAACAAAAATACTTTCAACTGGAAAGCAGGCGAATCGGGTATTGAAACACTTCAGCACACTTTGAATTTTAAAAGTATCAAATTTATGAACAACACCACACCCATTGTGAGTGCACTCACTTAAGTAATCAAGCGGGTAATCTTTTATTGGCGCTTGAAAATTATTTTCTTTTTTTTTAATATTGTATTTGTTTATGTTGCAATTTCTTTTATCGACATTTGTAACTAATACTACAGGGTACCATATACACACATATACATACATACATATTTCGACGATTTTTATTTGCCTTTGCATTGCTTTTGTTTTCCGTATTCCACTTTGGCGTTTACACAACTGTACACACATTTCTGTGTACGGCAGACTTATGAGATAAGACTTGTGATTTTTTTTTATTTTTTTTTTTGATTTTCAAGGAATTGCATAATCAGCAATTCTCAGCGGAGCGCTTTTTTATTTAATGCGATTTTTGTTTAAACTGCTTTAAAAGTATTAATGCTCTTGAATAATGAGGGACAATGTTTTGCAAGAATTTCGCATACAATATATTATATACTTATACGAATAAAATACATATTTATGCATAACAGTTCTGTACATTTATCGCATTTTTTGCCCTAATCCGCAATGCCATTAAATTTTTTACTGTGCACAAAGCTTCGCTTGCCGAATTTCTTGCGTCTTATATCAGTTCCTGCTAGGCGGGAATGAGTGTGCGCATTGCCTCGCTGGTAAAAGTAATACATTTTCTTCTAAACCCCCTGTGGTGTATACCTTGAACGCCGCCATATTAATGAGTTTAATTATCTGATAAGCACATATTAATTTTAAATTGACTACTACTTAACTGCATACTTTTTTACTCCTTATTTTATGCTACAACCCTTTACCAGTTTGTGCCGAGACCAAAAAAAAACTATCGATTTCTTCTGCCCTTTGCAATGTTACCTCAGTTGTTCATCTAAAGTATATCTGCACTTGGTGCTTCCACAGTATTCTAGGGCGCCCTTGACTTCGTTGTCCACCGAGCCCAAAGTAGCATCTCTTTGCAAATGTTATCCTTCGCTGGATCTCCAGGCTGATATATGAGGCGTTAGTGCCAGATCCCAGGTAGACCGAGGTTCTTTACTACTTTAAAGTTATAATTACCAAGAAGGACGTGTGTTCAATACGTGAGGATCTTTCATATTTTACCAGGAGGTGCTCCTCTAAGCTTAAACAGGCCGCGCTGATAATGAAATTCCAAGCACAGCCGCGTTGGTGGATTGAAAAGAGGTAAACATCGTACGTGGCCGCTATCTGCATCAGCATTCAAAAGCCATAACTCAAATCCACTCCGGACGTCTTTTTACTAGATTTACTTCCCTTCTCTTTTTTCTTTTTGAATAGTTATCTCCGCTCCCTCCGCTTCCCCCAGTATCACTCAACTTTCGCTCGCATAGCCACGTGGACTCTAATATTATTACAGTGAAACTTTAAAAAGGAGTGCAGGAAGTGCGTAAGGGAATTAAATCAATGGCAGAACGCTACTCTGAACTGGGTACCAGTCATCTCAACAACGTATTCATGACATGGAAATAACAGGGGCTAACTAGAAACTACTCACTTTAGAGGAGAGAGCAAGTCACCAAGTCACTGCGACCAAAGTTGATCTCTCTATTCCTTTATACACGTCTTAAGTTTTAAGATACCTTGCCGGATCCCTTGGAGAGGTGCCTTAAAGATCATTTACATCCAAATAAAGTGAACGCAGTAAGCGAAGTCTGGATCTGATGAGGGTATGACAAGTGTTTGAATGCTCTACAATGATCGGTAAGAAAGCCAGTGACTAAGTATTCGCATTAGCAAAATTTTTTTCGGTATTCTTGCGCCGTCTTCTGCATCCAGATAATTAGACAAAATATTAGCCATTTAATTGCCCATGCAGCCACTGTGACCAGCGACCAAAATATAGTAGAACCCTGGGCACCGATGCGATTGGATCTGAAGAACGATATATAAATATCAAGAGTATTTGTACCACACGCTATGTATTTCTCTTGATTCGAATTGATCCAAAAATATGATTTTTTTTTTGTTTTCGATCTTCTCGGCAACATCATTAATCTATATATATGTATGTTATTTAAAAAATTAGCCTATTTTACTCTTTCTGTCATGCTACTTATGTATTTACTCAAATGAACCATTTACATGTGCGCATACATATTTTTACGTACGTATACATATTTCCTCATTACTCACAACCCTACTTTATTTAATTATTCCGATCAAAGAACTCCATTCATTTGTAATCAGCACAGATGCTGGGGGAAAACTAGATAAGTAACATAAATACTTGTCCCTGGTCAAGTGCGACTTATCGTGCACTGAGCTTCTTTTCGAAGCATAAATTATTGTTATCCCAGCTCGTATGGCACCCTTGACTTAAAAATATGTAGAGTAGAGAAGAGAGTCAATGTTGTGTGCCGTTGTGCCGCTGTCCAATCGTACTGACCTAACCTCAGACGTATGCAATTGCAACAACAACAACAATCGCTGCTAATTTCAATACAATTTGCTGTTGGTTATAATTTTTATTTTTTTTATTTCCTTTAATGCCAATTTAGTATTCAAATGTTGTACACGCAATCGCTAATAATACGAGTGTACTATGGTACTCTCTTAGATACTTTTTAAATCGGTCGCTTATTGTTAGCATTAAGTATGTGAGCATGTATGTACATATGTAAATACTTGCGAACATATCATCAACAAGTGTTACTACAACATTGCATAAAGCTACTGGAGCTACATACATACATATACATATGTGAATGGATGCCAGAGGAACGTCTAAGGAAAAAGTTGGCACAATAGCTTTTACATATTTACGACAAATGTACAAATGTTGCATGGACGCATAACTGCATACATAACTCTACATACATATCCACACGTCTGCAGTCACACGTATGTACATATGTTAGCACAACACAATACTATAAAGTGAAAGTAATGTAGTTTTTCCTATTTGTTGTAATCCGTGGAGCTGAGGCGCAACTCATCGAAAGAGTGCAACGTTGGCTACCACGAACCCACCAATTCCACCAGCGATACATTACATATTCACCTACAGGGTGGTCAACACAGTGGTTCCTTTTTTAAAATTAAAAAAAAAATTTAAATTTAAATTATTTTTTTTCGGTGTATTACACTGTGTGACAGCCCGGACTTTGTAGAAAAAAATTGGTAAAATAAGTGTCTGAGGCAAATTAAAGCTTAAGATGTATGTATGTACATATATAGTAAGATTTCAACGGAAATATTTTCGTAGAATATTTTAAGTCACCAGGTCCCGCCTGAAAGGGTCGTTTTGAAGCAGTAAAAAAAAAACCTGACTTTTTTCTTTTTTTTTTTAACAAAATTTGTATTTAAAGGGCAGGTAAATTATAAAACCTACTTGATAAATCGACCGTTAACCTTTACATCCACTCACATCACATCACATTTACTTCACCCATTGCTTAATTTTTTTTTGAAAACTACTTAGACCGGGACATGGAAACTTTAGAAAGTTCACGGTACTGTCCAACAAATTTTTGACGGCGCGCCATCCTGCTGAAATCCAAGATCGTCCAAGTCTATATCTTCCATTTCCGGCCAAAAATCGTAGCGCTCACCGTTGACCGAAATGGCGTTTTCTATGGCAGCATTTTCAAAAAAAGAAGTGCCAATGATGCCACCGCACCAAGCCGTCACTCTGCATTGGCTGCTCGACGATCACGTGCGGATTTTGCTCTTAATATAGCCGCCATTTGTTTGCATTCTTTCCGAACGTTGTTCAAACGTAAAGCGATTCATTTCATTCCGCGGAGATATGATACTGACTTTCTATCGAAGATTTCCAGCGGGAAAGAGCTGTCACTGTCAAAAATAGCATACATATTATTATTATATTATATGGACCACCCGTTACCCATGCTGCGTTCGAATCGTACGTCGCTTGGGCGCTGCGCCACTAGCTGATTCACTGCACCGTCGTCGGCTGGTTGGTTGGTTGGTCGGCCGTTTTGACATCGCCTAATTGCGCTAAGTATGGCAATTTAATACGTGACATGTAATTAAATAATAACAATGCTGGAATTTAATAAGCCCTTCGCGTGCGTCGACACTCTTTGTACGAGTAAATATGTATGTATGTATACCACGCTTAGCTCAAACAATACCAGTAAGTATGCACTATTTGTAATTTATTTTATGGTAATCGAAACTCGGCTTGTGTTGTGTGTGTTTAACACTAAGCCACGCACTTATGATTGACTGTAGTGAAGAAGATGCAAAAATTTGATCTCGCTTTGCGTAGACATTTGCCGCCGACAGTAGCGCATAGGGTGTAAATGTGTTTTATTTTGTTTATAAAAAGTGGTTTAGGTTGCATTTTTGCGTATCACATCCGCATGCGTTTTTGTTCAATGTCAGGTAAAAAAAAAATATTTCGACATATGCATTTATTATGTCTAGTTTAGATACGTTCTTCAACTTGCGTGTGAATGGTTCTGCACGTCTCAGTATTTTTTAGTTGATATCTCTACTTTGTACGGCTAAGCGTTTCTTGGGCTCGTTGATTATGACATGAAGATGACACTTTATGTTAAAAAAAAAGTATTTGGCGTTGATATCTATTTCCGCTGAGTATTTGGCCAAGCTTCTCCTCCAAGGCTTAGCCTTAAAACTTGGCGAAAAGCTCGGTAGAGTACTTTGCAAGGGATTTACTGCTAGTATCCTCTAGCTGGACAGGCTAACTAAAGAGGACAGAAGTAATTTTTTTGGTCAAATAGCATTCCGTCCAGTTACGGGATATTTTTCGATGTTGCCAGAACACCACGTAAGGCAACATAATACTTAGCAAGCAGTTCCTGGTCGGCTGTTAAGTACTTACGACGGTACCCGAACAGACACTTGCAAGAAGCAGCATCTCCAGCTAGGCACTTCAGAAGCCATCTCTATGAACTGAACGACAAAATCCAGGGCTACATACAGGGTATGAATGATCACCGTAACTATAGGTGATATCGGAAAATTTATCAGGTAATCAAGATGGTTCAACCGAGAAGTCTACATATACATATATATGTATGTAGGTATTTAGCAGTCCCACGAAAGTGCATCAAAATAGCGCAAAAAGCTCTAATTGTAGTACCAATGCAAAAAAAAATCGATAAGGTGAGGTAAGGGATGAATCAGAGCTATTCGCACATTTTAAATGCTTGATGGTAACCCGGACCTCAACGCAGCATCTTCTGCTCACTGCCGATCTGTTGATTTTCAGCTCTTCCTTTTTTTTTGTTTGATAGCGGCGATAATGATCTTGAGACCTTCACAAACATCTCGTTTAGTCCATAAGTCATTTGACTATCTCTTCAGCTGTCTAATTCCCCTCAATATTGCTATCTTTGACCGAGAACCGAGCAAATAATGACATTGAGATGTCGCCCAATGATGTCAAAGCGCACTGCATTTCCGTACAAGCCCCGATTTCTATACCTTGCACCCCAAGAATTCAAAGCAGCTTGGCTACCTGTGAAAATAAGTACATTGTAAATACATGCATAGTTGGACTTCCCACTAGAAACCAGCTATTTATTAATATTTTCATTAGGAATGCAAGTTTTGCGATTAATATGCATATGTACGTACATATGTATATGTACTTAGTCCATATGTAAATGATAAACTCGGCCAATTTCTACCAGGATATCGGCTTTGTTCACATTTACAAAATTAATTAAGTCATTTATACATACTTATACGAATTCTATGCAGTTCTATAAGTACATACCTTTACACCCCGCGACAAAATGATACGGTCACATTTATTTTGATTATGTTTCTATCTTACAAAAACTATATAAATTCATGCTTCAACCTTTGTACACAAATTAGAAAAATTCCACAAAATTGTAAAACTTATTGTTTAGTTTATTTTTTCTATGTATGGAATTCAGGGCTAGATGGTATGAGTTAACCACCTGCAAAACTGCAAAAATTATGAGTCTCCTGAGGAGAAACGAGAGTTATCCGATCGAAAAATATTGATTTTCAAGAATTATATTCAATTTCTACGAAAAATTGTTCTCTTGCCATATAGAATACATGGAAAACTTTGAGCGACCTCTAAATATTTTTTGATTTCAAAACAAAAAACGGGTTTATTTTTTTCGATATAGATTAATCTTACGGGGTGAGAGCATTAAAACTCGGACTTAACTTTTTCCCACATGCATTTTTGGATCACCCTTATGGTACACATCACTAGCTTAAGGGCCATTTTCTGAAGTAATCTTTAACTTTAAAGCTCACTTTTTATTTAAAGGTTGGATTATGTCGAAAGTTAAGCATTTCTATTCTCGGTTTTCGATGTATGTATGTTTCTTTGTGGTAGACCAATTTAAAACCGATAATTAAATGCTTTACTTTAGACACAGTCAGAAATTTTAATGTAACCTTTATATATAAAGTGAGCTCTGAAGTTAAATGTTACTTGAGAAAACGGCCTTAAGAGCTGTTTACATTCATATAAAATGACGCTCAAGAAAAGGAAAAGAAATTTTCTTCTCTCAAAATTTCTTAAATCAGTTTGCAGCTCTCAAGAAAAAAATGCTCGTATATTTATTTTTTCAAGTAAATTTACATCAAAAGCAAAGCCAGTTTTCACGTATCAGAAATTATGAAAAATATTTCTTTTGATTTTTCTTGAGAGCTGGATTGTGTAGTTTGGATACTTTGAATCTGACCGAAATCCCAAATGAGTGACAACAGTGGCATCGAATCTAAATAAGGTAAAGAAATAGCTTACATCAAAATGAACACCACGGTTACATATTTTCGTGTACGTTTTTACTCATTCCAAAGAAAAATTACTCATTCGGAAGAATTTCTCGAGATTTTGACAGAGCTTAAAGTAAGGAAAGTTTTTCATTGTTTGAGAGATGGTGTGTTTTCTGAGTGTAGGCGCATACACGGTGGGTCTGACCAGCGAGTCGATTTGGATGTGTTAGTGATAATAAATATGTGTTAGTTACACCCGCATGACTCGGAATGACTCAACTGTGTGTAGTCGAAAGGCGTATCAACACCTACACAGATGATTCGAGAGTCAGACGCACCGTCTATGGCGCCTATAAGGTTCAGAGTGAAAAGTTGCCTAATTTAATAGGAGTGGAAATATATTTGTTACAGCCATTTTCTTCTTTTTTGTGCAGTTAGAGCAAATCAAAACTCGTATACGAATTTAAAAGAATTTTTATTACTTTGACCTTATAGAATTTCCAGCGTCTCTTTTGGACTTAGCAAATTTGCTTTTATTTGAATATTAACGGGAAGAAATATCGCTAGTACCTTAATACTTTGGGAAATGATGCATTTTTAATTTCTCTCTATGAGTTTTCACAAAAGGTGGATTTAGCAACTGTTGTCTCTAAGCTAGCGATATGAACATATCGTTTCTTAATATAGAAAGGCCCTACTTATATAACATTTTTCGTTTCTTTATAAAGCAGTTATACAACTTTATAAAAACTAAAGTTATTTAATTGCAATTTTCTTAAAAGCACGTTTTTTGTTAAACAATGAGCTATACTTTTATAAAAAAAAATAAAAAAGAAAATTAATTAAAAAAATAATCCAAACCGGCTGACCGTATAATTTTGTCACGGGGTGTACATACATATGTACATATATGTAGAAACCTTTACCATCAGAGATCGCTTCACTCGGTGTTATTGAATACGTTCCAGTGGCTCGTTTGTGTGCATTTCTCATTGTGCGCTTAGTCATTGAGCAGTCAATTGTGCTGCACAAAGCGCTCGAGAGCTATGTATGTATGTACATATACATATGTACAGTAGCTTTTGGAAGCTGCTGACTAACAGGCATTCTATATTTGGTTGTTATTAGTTCCTCATGCCGACTTTGTTTTGACTCCCTCTAACAAATTCGCCCACATGTACATACATATGTACGTATGCAGCTTTGTATTGTCTCATGGCTATGTCGCATACTATATCAGTTTCGCCCCTGCCTTTGGATATGTACTTCATGGCGCAATTTCATTTGTTCTTTTTTAGCGCTTTTAATTTCTACTATGCCTTTACGTTTATGTAAATGTATATATGTATGTATGTTTTGCCACTTTGAACTTCTCAATTAAGCAATTTGTTGCATTCATTCATAAAAACCAGAATTTCTTCATTCATAAATTTTATTGACCTTTTTTTCTTTTAGCAGCATTGTCTAGAGATCGTATATATTTATACATATGTATGTATGTATGTACTCATGGGCGTAGCCAGGTAGGGGCAGGGGGGGTGCTCGAGCCGCCTCCCCCCCTAACTTTCAAATATTCCTTACATATATACAAAATAGTACCCTGAAATGCCAGCTTAATAGGGTCGAGCCCCCCCTAAATATCATTCTGGCTACGCCGATGTATGTACCTATGTATTTGCATGAATTTGTGTAAATTATTCGATCATGAGGGTGCGGCAAATGTTGCTGAAATAGCCATCATTGGAATTGGTTACTTTTTAGCGCGTTATTGATAAATTTAGTGGTTATTAGCGATGGGTTGGGCCATTAGACGACTATGCCGTGTCCAAATCGGCAATTAAAAAGATGGCACACGCATTTCAATTTACTCATTTTAATTGAGTTTTTCCTTTATTGGTTTTCATTTTGGCATGAGTCACTTTTAATCGAACCCAATTAGCGTCAACAAGATCCAGCCACTAATGATCACTAATTAATTGTATCAATTTTTAAAGAATATATTATGCCGGATTTTCACTGAGCACTTGACCTTAAACATTTCCCTACCGCTATATTAAAATTATGTAAAATTCACCTTGTTTTAATTTACCTATATTCACCTTCATTTCAGGCGCCGGCGAATCAGGCAAATCCACCATAGTAAAACAAATGAAAATCATCCACGATAAAGGCTACACACAAGAGGAATGCGAACAGTATCGTCGTGTTGTCTACAGTAATACCATACAGAGCATGATGGCCATCATACGTGCTATGGGTCATTTGAAAATTGATTTTGCGGATCCATCGAAAACGGAAATTGCTCGTCAATTCTTTACATATGCCTCAACAGCGGAAGAGGGTATACTTTTGCCGGAAATTGTGCTGCTGATGAAGAAACTTTGGGCCGATGCCGGTGTACAACAGTCTTTTGCGCGTTCACGAGAATACCAACTGAACGATTCAGCAGCTTACTATTTGAATTTGTTGGATGAAATTTCGAAACCAAATTACATACCAACACTGGAGGATGTACTGCGAACTAGGGTCAAAACTACGGGTATTGTGGAGACACATTTCACATGTAAAGGCATGCATTTCAAGTGAGTGGCGTGGGAGTTTGAGAAACTATATACGTATGTGTCAATTGTTTTTGCTAACCGATTAATTTTGAACGTTTTTAGAATGTTTGATGTTGGTGGTCAACGATCGGAACGCAAGAAATGGATTCATTGCTTTGAGGGTGTAACGGCAATTATATTTTGTGTCGCACTATCTGGTACGTAAAAAGATATGCAAAATGTGTAAAATGAGTATTTTGACAGGGAGTTGGAATAAGCGCTTAAAAAGTGCAAAACTGAAAATTTTTAAAAAGTAATTTAAAAAAATGCATTATTATACGCACGTTTTTTTTTTATGTGGACAGCTATCACGTTTTTTTATATACCAAACTATTAGATCCTTCCATGCCACTAACTACAGGCCGACAAACCCAGAGAGAAAGATCTTTTGTATCTCTAAAGAGAGGCCCTAACCTAATACAACCAACATACATATATTCTTCCCTAATGTTCCCTAATGAATCCTAAGAGGGCCTTGGTAGGCGAACTCCTAATTTTAAAGGGTTAGAGCATTGGATCTTTAAATTCAATTGATATTTGCCTAGCCAAGGTCGCATAGTCTTTTTGTCGGCGCGTGTGGAAACGTAGTCGTTTGTGACCAGTTGGATACCCAGTGAGGAGTAGCCTGATGTTATTTCTGTTTAATAGAATAATATCCTTTTTATTTGAAAGAATAGCTGAAGAGTCTGGCATGTATATGGCCCCCAACGCTATTTAGTAGTAATTACTGTATTCCGAGTGTTACCTCTTGTAGCCAGTTTCACCAGCAATTTAAATGGAAAATGATTTTTTATTTTCTGTAAATTTTCATATAAAATTAAAATAATTTTTCACTTGTATAAACAAATTGTTTTCGTGAAATTGGCTGTTAGTATTTATATATAGCTCTCCACAGTTGGCTGATACCCATCAAAGTATTACTGTATTTATCTATGTAAGTTTGGATTTCATCATCCTAATAGAGAGAGCCCAGACGGCAGATTGGCTATAGAAAAGATGATTAGGAGGGTAAGTACATACATAACTGGCATGACGGGCAGGGAGCCGCTGCGCAATGTTTTGGGATTTTCCCCTAGGCAGTTTCTACCAAAGAAGATCTCTTTAGTTATGGCGACGCGCATATTTCCAACCCTGGTATCTTCCCAAAGATGCTAAACACAAAGATTTAACTTTAAGGAGACCTAACCTGAATTAGGAAATAGCTGTGCATTTCATTCCTACATTTTTCGGCTTTTGAAAATAACTAATGCCTTAAAAATTTTATCTATTTATTGCAGGATACGATTTGGTACTTGCCGAAGACGAAGAAATGAATCGAATGATTGAATCGCTCAAACTATTTGATTCAATTTGCAATTCCAAATGGTTTGTGGAAACATCTATAATATTGTTCTTAAATAAAAAGGATTTATTCGAAGAGAAAATTAAAAGATCTCCACTCACTATCTGCTTTCCGGAGTACACAGGTAAGTGTGGGAGAATTTTTTGTATTACTAATATTTAAATCTGCTCTGCATTTTGAATCGGTTTGTACAATATACAGTATGCAAGTATAGCGTGCTCCCGAGTTATACAACTAGTTTTTTTTTTAATTTTAGTGAAGTGTATTCGTTTGTAAGACACTCATATCGAATATTGTAATCAAATTATTTTTAATCAAAGTGCAGATTAGATTCAAATATAAGCTTATATCTACATATATATAGATATGTATGTATCTGTATGGCACGTGGACCGCAATCAATTAATTTTTTTTTATAAATGCCCACTTTTTCTCTTTTTTTAGGTCCCAACACTTACGATGATGCTACCAACTATATACGCATAAAATTCGAAAGTCTCAACAAACGAAAGGACCAGAAAGAAATCTATACACATCTGACATGTGCAACGGACACAAACAATGTACGCTTTGTATTCGATGCCGTCACCGATGTTATCATTAAGAACAATCTCAGAGATTGTGGACTCTTCTAAGTTACATTTATAACTAATTGATAGATATGTTTTGCATTTAAGTAAGTCTATGCTCTATGTTAACGCACAAGCATACTCGTATATAATGAGTGCGCTTGTTTGTATGTATGTACTTGAGTAGTGAATTTCCTACATACATATGTATGTATGTCATGTAATGGCAATTTTCATTACTTGATTCAAATGCATCAGCTAGCATTCATTAAAGCTCATTGATCTAAACATTCCATAATATTTTGCAATTAGAAATTGCTTACAGCCACTACATATACATACCTATATGGATTAGGTACTATTTAAAAATAATTAAAGTCTTATGTGCTGCGTGCTTGTCAAAAGAGCCACTAGATCTACTTGTAAATGAAGAGATCTTTGAACGTTGTATACATGGATCGGCACATAAGTTACAGTGAGATGATATGTATGTAATGTAAGTATTATATTAGCACTACTTGGGAATGCAATTTCAAATTTATAGCTTGTGTGTAGATATTTTTAAGTAGAAAAAAGTCGCAAAATTTAATTAATACTCCACAAGAGGTGACAATAATTATTACTACTACACTCTGGTCAAATGAAGAGTTAAGTAAAGCGTGCGAAAAGAAATTATTTATTGAGTCAAAGAAAATTACGTATAATTAACTAAAAATTATTAAGATGCGAGTACATTCATTTCTTTTATTTTTATTATAACTCCAGCTAGACTCCATTTGTTTGAAAATTTTATAAGCCTTTGTATGGAAATATCCAATTTTTTTTTTTTAATTAATCCCTTAGGAAGAATCCAAGACAATTTTTCAATCAATCGCATTCCTGCTCCATTCCATAGAGTTAAAAGTTTCGAATATCAATATATTTAGCATGAGCACTAGATTTTTGTTTTATTTGAAAACAAAATATTAATTGGCGTATCATGTTTAGGTGATGTACCTATGTGTACTTTTGCCACTGTAGTGCAGTTTGCTCTTTAATATTCATAACTAAATAGCTAGTTTATATTTTTACGATAGTGAAAAAATTAATTTTTTATTTTGTAACTTTAATATTACTGTACAAAACACAATAAATAATATGATAAAAACTGAAGACGCGCACTTAATGATATTTTTTACATCATATGTGTAGGTATCACAACTAAAAAAATGTCTAGTACATTTTAAAGCACCCTAAATTCGACTGTTAAGCAAAATTTGGACGAGCTTCATCTCGAATTCGGAGCCGGCCTCATCTTGCGAAATAACTGTTGAAGTGTGAAAAAAGGTAAATTAAAAAAAAATAATAATAATAATTTGGACATAGTTTTCCAAAAAAAAAAAAAAACCGCGTATTATTGTAAGTCCGATTCGTCTAATGGATTCCACCTCATATCGATGAGTTGATTAGAAATGGGTGAAAAATCCCGTTATAGTAAAAAAAAATTCATTGAATAAATGATTTCACCAGAAATCCTGCCAATTTCAAATTTTATTTAAAGTCAGAAGGAATGGCATGCAATTAAGGACCGAGTTAGGATATTTTTCACATTGAAAACAGATACCAACTATTAAAAAATTCATTTTTGTTTACTTTTCCGGGATTTGGTTTTTTTTTACTTTTCTTTGTTTGCCTAATAAATCAAATAAAACATACTTCCGGAATTTTTTCACTAATTTCAACTAAACTCATCGAGATTTTTCTTCGGAAAAACAACGTCCAAATGAATTTTTTTTTTCAAATTGTTTTTAATAGACCTGCTAAAAAAAATGCAGCATCAAAAAATCTCGTTCTCGTTTTCGAGATCTCAAACTTGCCAAAATTTTGTTGAACCTTGTAATTTATTTCTCACCCAAAACTAAGGTATTAAATTTAGTTATTGATTTGTGGTGAAAGCTACTTGAACAAGTGTAAATAAAATGTTTTCCTTACTAAGCTGAAGAATATTTAGTTTAACAGGAATATAATTTTTGTGTCCTCCGACTCCTCCTAAAAAGATCTCTGAACCGGAGTAGCACAAATAAAACAGGTAAGGAAATCGAAATGCACTTTTAATACCCGACAGTAAACTAGAAATTCGAAAAGCATTTCATAACAATTTTGACAGTTTAGTAAAGCTTTCGAGGTGTTTGAGGGGTTTTCCACTTTAGTAGAATACCCAGTTTCTTTTTTTTTTGAACGGAAACTCTCACTGAAGGTGGCACAGCGTCGCAACCGGTTTGTCTCCAATTTAAATTTAGGAAGGTTCGAAAGTTCTTTCCAAAGTACTATATATTGAAAATTCAGTTTCTTCACTAGTCATCAAAAGCCCGAAATGGTGGTTAAAAATGTTATAACCAACGTATTATTTTTTGTTGTTATTTAATTTTAGTTAATTTTGTATAAAAACATAGTTCATTCTTTATCAAAACCCGTGTAAATCCAAATTTCATACTTTGTGGAGTATTTAAAAAAATCCACAAATTTTCGTAAAAACGTCAAACTTTTTAATTAGATTCAGGTATGTATAATAAAGTGCAAGATTTAAATGGCTATAAATTACCGTTAATTTTTTTTTTAAATTTTCTTTTTCGCATTTGCATGCATTTAACGAATAAACACAATTTATTTTTATATATCGAATAAAAAATTAATCTTTCTTAATAAAAAAAAAACCAAAATTAAATAACAAAAATAAATAAATTGATTAATAGCGATGTTTTCGCAGTCTTGCAAAGTACGGTGCACGGTTTCCAAATCTGTGTAAAAAAACCGGTTTATACCGTGCAACCTGCAAGGGCTTTGCAAGACTCCGAGAATACCGCTTACGACTTTTTCCAACAAATTCTTTGGATCTTTTACACATTTCACTTAATACTTTTTTACATTAAGACAATTTCCAGGTACGACGGATCAATATTATAAGGAACTGTATAAACGAGAATTTTAAAATGTTGCCTTTAATTTTTCCAAAAAGTCTACAAACAAAATAAGCAACCATAGAACTTAAAATTGTCAATTGTCAAAAGCTCTGAAAAAGTTTACAATCAAAAGCACTCAAGTTGTGAACTTGTCAAAAGCTTATTGCAAAAAAAAAAAAAAATAAGATAAGAACGTAGCGAAATTCGACATACCACCACAGCGCATAACGAAAAGCAGCAGCAGAATCAGAAGCATAGTGCGAATTGAATCAGTTGTTTAGTGATCTCATCATCGCAAAAAACCAAACGCAATTTGAGCCGGCTGTAGCGTAAAGTAAATGTTTTTCGCTTTTCGCTTATTTTGGCGTTTGACTTTTTAAAATAGCGGGGTTTTACTTTTTCCACAGCTTTAAATAGTAAACTATCAACAAGAAATGTTGCTTTCCAAATCTATACGAATAACACCAACTCTAGTCAGTGCCACAGTAGCTAGAATCAGTGGTCCCAGTGCAGTGGCCGGTTTAGAGCAACAACACAGGAACTTAATTGTCACAAGCGCTGTGATGTCCAATGGATTGAGCGGTAAGTCGAAGCACCTACATATAAATGAATGATTAAGCGCTTTAGTAATAAAATAATCTACATGCATACATGTGTGTGTGTGTGTATGGACGTATTTCAAAACTTTCCTTTTCGTTTTTGTTGTGCGTAGAAAATGCAAGCATACAAGGCAATTTCATCAGATTCAATATAATTGCTCCCGGTGCCCTGACAGCTGTACGTTTCTATGCGGATGATACCAAGCCGCAACCGAAAAGCTCCACCAGTACAAGTTCAAATGCGCCAGCCTTCAATTTACCGGATCGTGAACAAGTTGAAAGATTTATATTTCGTGTGCTTGCACTTATTTGGGATATCAGCGTGTGGATTTATATAAACAGCAAAAGAGTTATTGAAACGCATATTGTAGCCAATGATTCAGTGCAATTGTACTGGAAGCGATTGCACGAACGAATGGCTAAGGCCAAGAAGGAATGGTAAATGATGTTGGGATTTTGTAAAGCAAAACAATTTTAACACATTTGCGCTTTTTGTTGTTGGATTAGCATTTGTTTACTCATATTTTCTTCAATTTGATTTCATCGCCTTTACAATTAAAAACTACATAATTGATATGTATTTCATGAGAGGTTTTTCATATTTAATACATATGCAAATTAATTAAAAATTTAAACAATTTTCTTTTGTAAATAAAATTCAAGAAAAGATATGTATGTATGTATGTACATAGTATGTATGTTTATTCACAAATTGATATACATATCGTTACCTTAATATAGGAACGCCCTATCTATCTCACATCGTCGATGAAATACAAAAATCCGTAACTAAGTAAAAATCCGTAAATTCCCCTTTTCATTGATTATGATGCATTTCATCGAAATTAAGTCCCCACATCATTTTAATCAATAAAAAAATTTTGTGAGTTAAGGCTTTTTGGCATTTCAGCGACTATATGAGTTAGGGCCTTTCTATTTTAAGGTAACGACATGTATCTGTAGTTTCTTCAGTTCGCCAACAATTGTGCCAGATATTCAGCAATTTTGTTACGTGCCTCCACCAATTGTGGTGGATCGCTTTTAGCTGGCTCATGCATATCGGCGCAGTGTGCAGTGCCTATCGTATAAGGAGATTTCGCCAATTTACCAAAATACAAAATACGTACACAGGAAATGCATTTACCTTCAATGAATATAGTGGGTAAATTCGGATTTTTAGATGTGGTCAAACCCAGTGCATGCCATGGATCAATGGAGCCATGCACGTACAGCACATTTGTTGTATTAGGATTAAGACCGCCACAGTTTTGATTGGTTTGTGATACAACATGCTCCAAGTACTTTGCGTCCATGCTGTATTAAATACGTATATATATATATGTATATGTGTTTGTAAAGATAATTTAGAGATAAATAAGTAAAATGGATACGTTATAATACTACCTCTCTGAGTAAATATCCATGCACTGTTTTATGAAGAAGTCAATTTTAAAACGATCGCCGAATGTGTCATTCTTATTATTTGATGTTTGATAGAAACCAAATTCGTTACATGTCTGATAGGTCCATTGACGTGTCCAATTAGCTGCCTTAGCGTACCAAGAGATATTCCGCATTCCAGTTATCATCTTATCGTACTTGTAATCGAAGCACTTTTCTTTGTACTCTTCCAAAAGCATGCCACTGACAATGCCTAAACGTGCAACTGGCGGACCAATTGTTGTATTCACCATTACGTTGCAAACCTGTTAAATTTTATATAGTAAACTTTTGTAATTCGTTTTAATAAAACTATTGATACTAGCATCGTCAATGGTGCAGCCAGCATCAGGTCCATTGTTCTTATTGGATTGTACCACACCCGCAATATTATCTGTCAATGCTTGAAAGAAATTGGACATATCTAACGAGTTATTAACCGACGCCATAATTGGCGTGCAGGTGCTAAAAAAATTGATTAAAGTAAAACAATTAAAACTCAGAAGAATGCAAAGTTCATATCGAGCCCTAACGTACATCTAGATGACGTTAGGAGCATTACTGCAACAAATAGAACATTTGTCGCTTACGTTTTTTTTTTTTTTTGGCGGTAAGGGCTCGATATAATCATTTTGAAATTTCATTACTTAAAATGTTCATCCAAATCACGCTGGCCGATCTCATGACGTAAGAGGGTTTCTATCTCAGCAAAAGCCGAACCAAAAGCCTTCAGGCAGCTGACGGAATGCGTTTCGAATGAAGCTTTCACTAGTTGTAAATACTCTGAAAATAGCGAATAAAATAAGTAGAAGATGAAAATTAAAATTCAACTGAATTCATTAGTTGATTGTTTTCAATTCAAATTTTTTTTTTCTCGAATTCAGGTTTTTCGACTTAGGCGGTTATTGCTTATGACCACAGATATGTTGGCCAAAGCAATATATTTTTGTTCAGGAATTTTTAATCTGGCTTATAGGCGGCCAAGTGACCATCAGCTGAAAAGGATAATACGTAAGTTAAGTTAAGTCTACACTAACTAGACTATCAGTTTCGTTTTTTAAAAAACTGGCAGTTAGCGCTTAGCATTCACGTACGCGAAAGTGTTAAGAGATTTCATAATAATCTTACCATAAAAATCTACTTTAGCCAATAGCGGTGCACTCGAGCTGATCGCGCCATATATTAAATGGGGATACTTTTCACGCGCCCAGGCAGCCAATGCCCCGGGATAGGAACCGCCGAAGACAATCCATTTCTGTTTAGCGGTAAAGTTATATTTCTTGTTCATGCCTTGAATGAAGTTGGCCACATCAGCGAGTGCTTGTTTCGATGAAAGATATTGAAGATTCTCGAATGAGAGATCACTGTGGGGTTAAAAAGGAAAGTATTAAAACAGAAAATTCCGAGTTTGATAAAGGCAAATATCGATAAATGATGATGATATAAGTATCGATAACTAATGATAATTATTCATGCTTTAATCGGCCATGTTATGGTTGTCAGTTTTTTGTTGACCTCGACGTCCATTTAAATCTAAAAAAAAAAAACGTTTCTTTTTTTCAAATGCCCATAACGGAAAAAATGGGCCTATTGAGACCATTTTTTGTTGAATTTTTTCATTTTCCAAAAAACTTTATTTCTATGAAATTTTCGAAATTTAAAATAAAATGTTGGTTTCAAAAAAACATGTACTGATAATCGGACCTATATTTTCGAAATTTTAAAATTATGAAAAAATAGCAATTTTTATCCAACTCGACGCCAAGAACTCCGACTGAAATTTATGTAAAAAAGCTCCAATTAACCAGAATATCTAATATAATTTTTTTCCGAGATACATAATCCGATCTGCTAAATACCTCCCCGTATTAACAAAATAATCATATTTATATAGTACGCATAAATATCTTTACCTTTTTGGACGACTTTTTCCATAAAATCGATGCTCCAAATGAAAGCATATGGCCCCAAAGCGTTCCGCAAAACGAATCCACGTGCCCTTTGTGACCCAACGCGGCGAAATCGGAAGTTCACCACCGATCGTTAGAAAAATGGGTGCATCACTGTCATTCCGATAGAACGTGTCATTTATATAATATAACTGAAAAGCATCAAGATAATATCGTTAAGTTTAATAATTTGGCTCCTCTAAAAATATTTTTTTGTATTTTAAATTCTGCTAAAAGGGTTAAAATATGAAACGTGTATATTTGTTGATAGATAATGGTAGCATTTTAAATTAAATCGACTAGTTTAAACTTTTAAGCACAGAAATGTGGCTAAATGGCGCTAAATTTCAAATTTTTTAATTATAAACATAGTAAAAGGTATCCCGAAGCTCTGCTATTTCAATTTGAAAGTGGATCAATTGCAGAATTGCTTTGTAGAAGTAACAGTTTTTTAATTTTTTTTCGGGTGGAAAATATCTCGCATTTAATACTAAAAAAGACCTAGTTTTGGGTCTCCCTCTATGCAAATATATATTCCGCATATGTATGTTCGTATGTATATATGTATGTATTTAAGGAATAAATATTCTTACTTGATTCCATTTTACTTGCTGCTTTTCCTTATCAAAATGATCAAGTGTTTGTAGGAACCAGTTCTCTTCTGCTGGTTCTTCTGGTGTATCTGGTATTAAGTTCCATCTGCTTGGCTCACCAATAGCTCGATGACCGTTACGAAATGCTGTCGTCTTATCAAGATTATCAAAAACAAACATCAACAAGAAAATTACAGCCAAATACATCCGATAACTGGAAAGTGTTGACACAACTCTAGACACAAACAGTTCGTTGGCTTCCATTGCTATTAAAGTGTTCAATGATAAAAATAGAAAAATATGATTATTTATTTTAGAAATTCGTAGGTTTTAGGAAATAAGTAGGTTTTTTTTAAGCCACTAGAACAGATTAAAATCTCCTTAGATATTGAAAACTTTCACTGTTGATATACATATGTACATATGTACATAATCATAAGAACTTACCTAATTAGAAAAATTTTGCGAGCGTTTGCAGATAAGAATTGTATACGCCTAGCTTAACTTCAACGGTTCAATTGATTCACTGATAGAAATGATTCCTGTTTTAATATACCTACATACATACATACAGTTAAAATTCGTGCTTATGCAAAGGCTTCACACTTCTCTTCAGTTGTTGTATTTATGTATTGAATGACAGGCGGAAAATAATCGAACCAACGCGGCAGGTTGTATTTAGAAAAATCACACGGCTACCAAGTAGCTGCCTTTATTTATACTAAAATTCTTATCCTAGTTCTTAACCTAATCAGTTGTATGTACATAACACTTCCATAGTGCTATGGACACAGAACTTAAACCTAGGTACCTAACTTATCCAAGGTACATAACACTTCCATTGTGTTATGCACATATATATACTTAAACCTAAATGAATAACCCACATGCCTCCAGACGTTTCCACATTAATATTGCTAGCCAAAGTGCATACAACTGCCCAAGGTCGCATCAATCATTATGGTTTTACAATACTACATGTGTTTACACTATGCAGACGGTGAAATTGTTTGTGGTGCACCTAACCGTCTACATAGCTACAAATCATGCACTCAAGCATCTCTTACCGAACCGGGTAAGTGTCCTTGAGTCGCATTGTTTGTATTCTTTACCTAGGTAATCATTTTATGTCTTTGCTCCCATCTAAGAGCGGAACGATATCCCCGCGATAGCTTGCTTAGAGATAATTAAAAGAAAGACATGTAGATACGTACATGCGTACAATTGTAACGACATACATACATGCAAGCATGCCAACATAACTAGATAATTATGCTCTATTTCGGAATGAGTTTCATTAAGCTAAAAACTCTCTTCTAAGAGTAATGCTCTTACTATTTCTTTCGCTGCTATTTGCAAGTCTATGTCAAGGCGAATTTATATAAGGTGATAGCAGGAGTACAAAAACAAAAACTTACATGTATTTTGTTTTTGTTTTGGCGGCATAAACTGTCAAAATCTGTAAGAGGGTGTGTGGAAATTCAAACAAAATTTTTCAATTTGACATAAGAAGTCGTGAGGCGAAACACGTACACAAAATCAGCCGATCTAGTAACACCACCTTATATAAATTCGCCTTGGTCTATGTAGTGCTTTTATTCCATAATTAAAAAAGCATTGAAACAATGATGTTGATACATAATTATATACTTGAAAGTGTTTTAAAAAACGTATTAAGAGAAATATTTCGAAAAAACATGGCATATTCTTTAACAACATAATTTCTGTTTATTTAATTTTAATTATTACAAAAACAATACAAATCAAAGTTTCTAATAAAATTTTTATAGAGAGTTATCAACTTTTACTAATGGTTTTTGTTGTAGAATTATTTTTTTTTTAAATATTTAAAACAAGAAATTTTTAAGCAAAAAACAAAACCGACTTCAATTCTCATATAAATATATATATATATATATATATATGTGTATTTCATGATCCAATAATCGGATCTAAACCAGATTAGCATGGGACCACCTATGAGACACTATCTTTCCGATGCAAAAAGAATTATCGAAATCGGTTGACGCGATCCAAAGTTATGCGGTAACATACATACATAAAAAAAAAATAATATTCCGACGAACTGATAACCTCCTCCGTTTTTGGAAGTCGGTTAAAAATAGAAGGATATTAAATTAACAATAGCTGTGAAAACGTCGCACTGCTATTTTCGTAAACACTGCTGTACATACCAACATACATATCGTCGGTTAAAGTGCAAAACCGCGTAACTGACAATTTTTGCCAAAAATTTGATTTGCTCACACAAGTTCTTGACTAACCAGAAATGCGATTACTTTATAAAAAATAGAACCATTTTGTTTTTACTCTCTAGAAAATAATTTATGATACCTCACATATTTACGCGGTTTCGCATTTTGTTGCTTAAGTTTAACTGAAATTAGGATTCGAAAGCATTAAGCTCTTAAAACTGGGCATGTTTGTCATTACTGCCGCAGTGTTGCACCAAAATACAGAAATACAGCGTTCACAAACTAGCCTTTTACCTATCAGTTCAGAGTCGCTGCTTCGTAGACTTTTCAAATCTTCGTTATTTACTGTGCTCTGACTTTTTTCGTATAACAATAACTTAAAGCTTAATAAACTCTACTTGCAACCAAAAAATCAACATGGCGAATACAGCGGAAATGGTGTTGGTTGGCGGCGAAAATGCCTCCTAAAGGTATGCTTTAACATTCATACTGAATTAAAGAAACTTGATAAGCAGCGATTTAAGAATAAGATTTAGATTACAATTAATACAAAAATAAAGGTAAAGATAAATATGTAGACGAAGGAAAGGCTAAGATGAAAATAGAAATAAAATTAAAGGCATGTAAATACAAAGATGAAGGCAAAATTAATAAAAGTAATATAAGCTTAATTTGTAAGGTGAATTTGTAGATAAAGATAAAGAAGAGAATGGAGAGAGTGATGGAGATGAAGAGCTAAAGATAGATCACTTCAACTCACCATCTTTTCTTAATTCTGAATTGATCAGCGAATCAAATCACTAACGAAATTAATTTTAGGTTTATCAATTTAAAATCTCTCAGCCCAGTGTTCTGTTATTTTAAGTAATGAATAAACATAGCTAATAACTAAAACGTAAGCGCGATTTTTACGATGCATTTCTGCAGCAAGAAGATTTTGAGAAAAATCTCGCTTACCTTTTTTTTTGCGGTTATGCAATTCTGCACCAAAATGAAATTTGGAAAAAAATGCTTGGATTTTCTGAGCGGTTTACTTTTGACCAGTAAACGGAGACAGATTGCGCTTACTTTTTATTCATATTACTAATTTACTAAACTTGAGACGATAGATAAGCGCAAATACGCCGATATTCAAACAACCAATTACCTCATCAAACTTTTAGTTAGATCAATAAAAAAAAAACCCTTGGCTTTGCATTACTTCCAGGTCGTACTTCCAGGTCTCGCTGTGGGTATGTATAGTGAAATTCGATGATTTAAAGCTAAGCTTCATATCTGTTTATTTGCTTTGTACGTAAGTTTCTTATTTCTTGAATATGTATTCTTTCTAAACAAATATTTTCCCACGTTCACTTTGGCGATCATAACGAATCAGTGCATAACTCAGCAATGTTAATATTTTAGTTTATTTATATAAAAAAAAATATCCATACACATATTCGATACAGTTTGTTCTCCAATATTCGAGTTTCATTCATAAAATAAAATAAAAAACTAACCAACTTGCTCTCCTCAATTAAAAATATTAAATTTTAATAGCCCTTTAGGCTCTTTCCATACTAAAATTCTCCAATAGCTGGGCAAGATATTTAATGATTTTGTTACGAGCCTCCACCAATTGTGGTGGATCGGTTTTAGCTGGTTCGTACATATTAGCACAGTGTGCAGTGCCTGTCAAATAAATGTTTAATTTCATAATTAAAAATTGCTGAATAAAATGGCAAAATACCAAAATATACCTTCGATGTAAATTGTGGGTTGCTTCGGATTCTTAGATTTCGTCAAGCCAAGTGCATGCCATGGATCAATGGAGCCATGCACGTAGAGTACATTTGTTGTATTGGGTTTTAGAGCGCCATAGTATTTATTTGTCTGCGAAACAACCTGCTGCAAGTACTTTGCGTCCATGCTGTATTATATAAAAATATGTAATTATAGTGTTGTAGAGTTACATAAATTTAATTACTACGCCGCCGTTATTAATTTTCTCATTACCTCTCTGAGTAAATATCCATGCATTGTTTAATGAAAAAGTCAACTGCAAATCGATCGCCGAATGTGTCGCTCTTATTATCCGACGTTTGATAGAAACCGAATTCATTGCAAGTCTGATAGGTCCACTGGCGACTGCCATTGCAAGCTTTAGCACCCCATGACGTTTCTTTTAGCTCAGCGATCATTTTATCATACTTGTAATCCAAACACTTCTCCTTAGCATCCTGCAAGAGCATGTCGTTAACGACACCGAGACGAGTTACAGGTGGCCCGATGGTCGTATTAACCATAACATTGCAAAGCTGTGAAACGAGTGTGGCAAAAGAAGTTAGTCAATAATTATTTTAGCGCATATTTTTTTTTAAGGCCATCACTGCATCCATCGCAGTGCTTTAATACTGAACCCGAATTTGATCGATATTACGCAGATTTTACGAAGATCGGACTACGATGAATTCAGTGATAGCCACGTTTGTCTGCTTGAGAAACCTACATCATCGATGGTGTATGTGGCACTGGGCCGATTGTCCTTGTTATATTGCACGACACCAGCAAAGTTGCCAGCCAAAGCTTCAAAGAAGTTGGACATGTCCAGTGGATTATCTATTGAGTCCTTGATTGGTGTACAGGTTCTAAATGGAAACAAAAGAAAAAATTGCAATACAAATTTGTACATTAATTGAGTAATTTATTCAGCACCCACTTAAATTTCTCATCCAAATTACGCTGGCCGATCATGTGACGTGTCAGAATCTCAACTTGTGCAAAGGCACGGCCAACTGCTTCTAAACAGGCGGGCGAGTAAGTGGCCAAAGAAGCTTTTACTACTTCGAAATATTCTATGGCATATTGAAAAAAATTAGTAGTTTGTTATAAAAGCGATATACTTTAATTTTTATTTGGTTGAGTTTCCATACCTTTGAAATCAACCTTAGCCAATAATGGTCCACTAGAACTAACAGCGCCATGTATTAGCTCAGGATATTTTTCGCGCGCCCAGGCTGCCAACGAGCCCGGATAAGAACCACCGAAGGCTATCCATTTTTGGTTAGCACCCAAATTATATTCCTGTTTCATGCTCTGAACAAAGTTGGACAAATCCGCCAATGCTTGCTCGGAGGTGAGATAGGCAAGATTTTTGGTGGAGAGGTCGCTACAATCAAAAGCACAATTTTTCGATTTTATTTTTATTTTTTTTTTTAATTAGAACCGAGCGGGACTTACCTTGTAGGATGACTCTTTCCGTAAAAGCGATGCTCCAATTGGAAACAAAGTGCGCCAAATTGTTCAGCATACTTAATCCAAGCGCCCTCGGACATCCAACGTTTCGATGCCTCACCTTCGCCGCCAATCATTAGAAAAATGGGCGCTGTGCTGTCGTTGCGATAGAATTCATCGTTAACAAAATAACGCTAAAGAAAGAAAATCGAATTAATGGCATTCACTTTACACTAAGTAAATTGAAAGCATTGCATACATACCTGCTTCCAGGTGACATCCTTATTCTTTTCTCCAAAATGATCCAACTTTTGTTCGAACCATTTATCTTCGGGTGCCGGCTTATGTCGCACCGATTCGAATTTGCTGGGTTCGCCAAGGAAACCATCATCATAGCGCCCGTTACGAAAACGACCCAAAGCGGCGCTGGTCTTATCAATATTCGCAACAAAAATGAACAACAACAAAAGTGCGCTCAAACGCAATAGATACGCCATTTTGTCAGAAATCGATCTATCAACGGCGCCCATTTCGTCTTTGGCCCGCTTCAAAAAATAGCTCCTCTCCTCCAAATCTTATACTAGATTTATTTATTAGCACTGTTTGTATTTTTTTTTTTTGTAATTCACAATCAGTGGTTTTGATGCTATGCGCTATAAAAATAGACAAAAAAGAAAATCTATTAGTTTTTCGTTTTTCCAGTGTCAATAAACTAAAAACGTCGAAATAAGTTGGAAATCTCCAGAGACAGTGGCGTTACAGTTTATAAAATTCTAAAAACATATGTACATACATAAGTGCCCATATATATGTATGTATGAATATGTAAAACTAAGTGAGGTTATCGCTAGTGATTACTATGCACAAATGGCCACCGCACAATCATAACAAAGCAACCCAACAACCGCACGAATAGTGCACCAATATTTTATCGCCGGAATGCAATATTGATTTTTTTTTCAGCACAGGTAAGCAAATTTTCGTTAAAATAGTTATCGAATATTTAAGAAATTCGAAGGCTTACCACAGAAAATCGACTTTTCTTTATGCTTTCTAAGAAGAACACTCAGGCAAAGAAATTTTCGTTTATGTACTTGTTGTAGGTACATACATATATGTATAGTTAATTTCTACCTACCAAACGCTGGCAAGATGAGTAAAATTATAAACGTCTGTCTAATAACGCGTTTGCAAAACGAATGATGAGCTGAGCAGTTTTGCTGTGTTCAGCAACCACTCTTCCGGTTCTCCGTAGTAGTATATATACATATGTATGTACATTAGGGTGGTCCAAAAATGCATGTGGGGGGGAAGAAGTAAAGTCGGAATTTTTATGCTCTCACCCCTAGGATTGTTTTATACCGAAAAAATATACCTCTATTTTTTTATTTGGAAATCAAAAATAAAAATGCGTTAGTATTAAAAAATGGTTAAGTAAACAATTGAGTATTATTATTGAAAGTTTCCTGAAGAGAACCAGAGTTTTCCGATCGAAATATATTGATTTTCAAGAATTCTATACCATTTCTTCGGAAAGTAGTTTTTTTCATATAAAAATATATGGAAAACTTCGAGCGCTTTGAGCGACCTCTAAATATTTTTTGATTTCAACATAAAAAATAGGGGTATACTTTTTTTCTATATAGAACAATCCTAGGGGATGAGAGCATAAAAATTCCGACTTTATTTTTTCACATGCATTTTTGGACCACCCTAATGTACATACATATGTATATACGCTTAAATGCTTACATATGTAGCTATTTGTTTGCGGATCTCCGCTGCATGTTCTAAAATGCTCTTAATACTTATACAAATAAGAGAAAACATAATTTATAAGAGTTAAACTAAGTAAATTTTTTTAAGTAAAAATTTTTGTGATTACAAAAATATATGTCTACATATGTTTTTTAGTGATCGAGAAAGGATATGTATGGTTGTATATTTGTTTTTGCATTTAAATTTAATAGTAAACAAAACAATTTCAAATTTCTGTCAGGCCCGGATCGAATCATCCAAGCGGTCCAGCCATTTCTTTACAAAATAGTTACTTAACGAAAAAACTGCTAAACCGCAATTTTTAAGCTTGTGGATAGTGATCTTTAACTGATTAAACTTTTATGATTTTTTGGCTGGATAAACTGTGCATTGGGTAACTTTTTTTAATCTACCCGATCTATGAATATCCTGGAATTTCATTCTCCAAACACATCTTTTCTGGAAGGCTCCCAACTAAGCTTAGCAAAGATGAGACAGAAGCATACAAAGGTTTTCAATTTCGAAATTTCCTTAAATTAGAAAAATAACTGTTTGTATGTAAGCCAAACAGAACAGAGTAGTCCACAGCCTGTCGGGATGTCTACCGTCCTGTTTGGCCACTGAGGACCGGATCATATTCAGTATTGGTGCCATTTCCTGAATGTGAATCCGGGGTCTGTTAGCCTCTATCACGTCAGGTTCGAGATCACTTGAAGGTCAAGTAGGGAAAAATTCTTTGAATAAGACTTGGATGCATTATGCTGCTGAAAAAAAGAAAGTTGCAAGTTTAGCTATCTGAAAAGGTAACTAAACACCAACAGCATTGCCAAGGTCTCGTAGTATCTCAGCATAACACATATCCTATTGCGATGAAGACTTTCACTGTGCCCGGTTTCCACATATCTACACGCGATTTTTCATCCTTTTTTGATCCTCTTTATACCAATGAATACATTTTACCTTAAAAGAATCTGAAATTTTTATTTAAAAGTCTCTTTCCTAGCAGTTTTCCAAAGTCGTGAATTCGGTGTATTTAAACCCTTATAAAAAAGGCTTATTCTCGGAATAAAGGCCGGAAAGGTTTTTGAGGCTCTGTGTTACTCAAAGCAGGGGCACATCAGCAGTATTCCAGACTGTGTGGAACTTTATGACATACACAGGTCGATTTTTGTCGTTCAACCGAATGTAAATGCTTTGGCCAGGTGACAGAAATCGACCTTGGTAGCGGCAGCGTTAGGGGCGAAAAAAAGTTATAGTTTCTTCGCTGAAGGTGATAGTCTAGAAGAAATGAACAAGGTCCACATCCCGTCATTCCCTAGTAGTTTAGAAAGGTGAAAGGTGAGAAAAACAGGAATGCAGGGATAGCGACCCAATCGCCCATACTCGATGAAAAAATATTCGAACAAACTTAACTGCATTCGCAAGGCGTAAGAAAATGTTGCGATGTTAGGTAACTTTACTACAAAAAATCAGACCCGAACTTTCGAGGTTAGGATAGGTTCGAACTTTAAGCTTAGGGTATTTAAAAACCTAATGTGGTAGAACAGTTCTGGATTTGGAGACACAATGTGGAATTGTCGAGTCGGGGTATGTGACCCCTAAGCCTTTCCTATGGCCCAAAACGTCTATTCAAGCATCATGGTTACCGAACGAAATTTATTTCTGCAAAAAGTCCCTTTTCCGTTAACACAGCAAGCATTGAGTTTTAACGCGATATGGCAAAGTTCTTATTTTACTTTTATAAACAAAAACTTGTCGGAAAACTTTAACAAAATAAAATTTTGAGAAAAATGTTTAAAATTACAAAATTCTCAGTACCCCATATTTTAATTGATGCTGCGCGCCAAGCTGCTAGCAAATCTGGTGGCAAAGGAGCCGGTGACAAATGTGGGCCTCCTAAAAAATCAGGTGCATGTGGGCCTAAGAAAAACTCAAAACCAGATACTGAGAAACGTGGTGGTGGTGCCCCACTAGCTACTCCACCCTCTAGTCCAACCACTGGTGGTACTGGAAAGGCACCTCTTGGAAGTTTGGGTGGCGTTGGAAGAGAAAGCAGCTGCAAGGCGAAGGTACCGAAATCCGGTAAAGGTAGGCATTAAGGGAAATATTTTTGGATTACTAATTCGTCATAAAAGAGGCTACGCACATTCAGATAACACGATGTAGGATAGGAATAAAATTCTTAACAAAATTTTAGAATATCTCGGTTTCTTCTCTGATGGTACGAGATTTTATCAGGAGTGCCTTAAAGTTAGATAACATTAATTAAAAAAAGTTACCGATTCCTGAAACGTATTTCCAGCAGAGTTAGCAGCTATTGAAAAGGCCGTCGAGCCGAGTTAATCGAAACGGAAATTAAGGTAAAATGCCTTTTGGTCTGGCTAGCCTTAGTACTCTCGTGGATTTTTTTTTTTTTAATATGGAAGGATACGATTTACACTTGAAGCACAAATTTTTTTCGGAAATTTTTTGACAATCAGTTTATATGGGTTTTAGTTAGGAGGCTATACAATGGTCCCGGCTTCCGTTTTCAATATTGCGAATTGAGGCCAGAGATAACAATTAAACTTAAAAGTGAATAAGAAACCCATCTTAGGGCATCCTCAGTAGAAGTAGCCTCTTTTATACCATCCATATATGTAATTGTATCTATTTTTACAGGCACCAGTACGGCGGAAGCTTTTAGAAAGATCTGTTTGTTCGGTATCTTGCCAGCTATTGCCTTATTGCATATCCTAATATTCTCCACAAGAACGCACGAAGAGCGCGAAGAGTTCAAAATGTGGCCGCATCTTTATAAGCGTGACAAACGTTTCCCTTGGCGTGACGGAGTAAAATCACTTTTTCACAATTCATATGCTAATCCTTTGCCTGACACAGGATACGAAGATGAATAACAGCATTTTTTTTGCGAATATATAAAATATATTTTTTTCGAAATAATCTACAAAATTATGAAATAAATTAACATTTTTTAATATCTGGTATATAATCGCAATTAATATCTGGCTGTTTCTTCATGTCGATCGGTGGACATTCAACGCAACAAACATTATCCTTTGGTGTACTCTTCAAGAGATCGGCAATTTTTTCCTGTTTAGGGCTCCTAGAAGACGTTGGAGCAGGCTGTGGTGGTGCTTCAGCCTTGCCACCGGTTTCAGATGTAGCTGGTTGTGGCGGAGGATTTGATTTGCCCCAGAATTCCTAAATGTTGAGTAGTTAAAGTGACCGCAAAAGACAACAACACTTTTCACACACTCACCTCCGGTACATCCCAAATGATAATTGAACCATCAATGCTGCCAGTGACAAACAGCCTACCATTCGGACTAAAAGCGCAGCTCATTACAGGCGATGAGTGCTCATAGCCAGCGCAAACAGTAATGCCACGATTATAATCCCACAACTGCAAATAAACATAGTACATACATAGTACATCTAAGCCATTGAATTATCTAATCTGGGAGATGCACTAACCTTCACCGTTTGATCACTCGACACTGTAAGAAAATAATCACCAGTTGCATTGATATCCAAATAGTTTATGGAGTTCTTTTTCGTGCCATGAAGTTCACGTATAAGGCTACCATTGTAGACCATCCAGTAGCTGATGCGCCCATCTGCGCCGCATGCGAGCAATTGTACGCCAGTTGGAAAGTAACGAGCACACATGAATTGCGTGTTGGAGGTGATGACAAATTTGCGTGTCATGCGGCTGAGCATAAATTTTGAGGGTTATGAATGACAACAAAAATAAACCACATAAATTATTTATGTATGTATATGTAGAAGCATACTTTACATCCCAAATGACGCAAGAGCCATCAACGCAAGCTGATATAACCTCGGTGTCCAAGTGATTAAAGTCCAATGAGGATATCGGACCGGAATGATCCTTTAAGACGCCAAGCAAACTTTGACGAAATGGTTCAATTTTCCATAAACGCACTTGTCCCTCCACGCCGCCGGTGACGAGTAAGCGGCCAGTCGATGATACTCGCAATGCACTGCAGCCTATAGTGAATAAAGTTTATTAGAAAATTTATGCCTTTATATGCATCAGTTGTGGAAACGAAAATCTATATGCTGATATTTACGATTTCATAGTACAAAATGACTGATTTCCACATCCCTATAAGTCTCAAAATTCATTAATTAGGATACTTAAAAGCCCAAAGTTCAGTTTTTATTTTGTGAATGTAAAATACCTTAAATAATACTTTTCCAGGCCACAAAATTCTTCTTGTACATTTCTCATTTTCAATATTACTTTGTAAGTCTACTTGTTACTCAGTCAATTCCAACTTCCCAACTTTGATTTATTGTAAAAAAAACGAAAGAGTTTAGGTACAAACCTTTATTATGCGCATTTGGTATGGCATAAATCAAACGGCCGGTTATGGGTGTGAAGGCGCGAATTACACCATCATTCCAAGCCGATACAATACTGCTGCCATCATTGGTGAATTGCAAGGAGACACATTTGAAATTATAGACCATAATACGCAGCAGCTCCTGCAGACGTCCAATCGACCAAATGCGTATGCTCTGATAGCCAGCAGAGGCAAAAACGGTTGATAAGTTTCTGAAAAAAAAAAAAAAATTCCAATCGGCAATTTTAAATTTTTGTATGCAGAATTTATGCAAAATGATGTAACTAACTTGGGAAATACAATTTGATTGACTGGCTTACGATGGCTTGTCTTCAATAATTTACATGAAAATTTGGCAATATTCAGAAACCATATTTCATTTTGGTCGGTGGAAACGAAGAATTCATTACCATTGATATTCACCAAAGATGTGACAGCGCCATTCACATTTGCGCGCTTGAGCTGAAATATCAGTAATCGACTTTTATATGAAAACTTACAAATATTGCTTGCACTTTGCACTTTCTGCAACCTACTGTGCGAAATATTGGCCACGTGGGACTGGGATAGTCCTTCATCATTTCAAGCGTAACGTCTTTACGTTCTTCCACTAACTCCAAAGTGCCATCGCCGGCACCCACCAAAAGCACACCTTTCTTCACAATTTGCAAATGGCGTACACCATTAACAAAGCGTTCACAGTCCTTGCCATATGGTTTGCGTGGATTGTGCTTACCGAATGCGCCTATCATCGCCGCCACCATGCCAGCTTGTGTGACATTCACCGGATCACAGCAATTGAGCACGACTTTTACAATATCACCGGTCATTGTGCCTAGGTAAAGATATTGATCGTTTTCGTCAACCTGCATACCAGTATAGATTCGTTGAATCTTGCCACAATGTACATCATGCACATGGAGTTTCTTCTGTTCGCGCTGAATGCTCCACATGCGAAGGTGTCCTGCATGCGTTCAAGCGGGTTTTTACATATATAAATGATTTTTTTTGATTAGTTAGTTGAGAAGTATGAAGGTAAAATGGGGCTTACTTTCACCAGCGACTAAGAAATGCGATGGACTATTACGTAGGGAGCAAACTGTTAGAGCAAACCCGGATATTGAGCGGGAAGCTGGCGCCTGACATATTGGCGTACTGGAAGGAGAATAGTAAAAATTATATCAACAATAAATTAGTCCTAAACGCGTTCATCTATGTGTAAGTAAACTATGCTTGAGAGCCAAAATCTACAAGGCCTTAAAAGCTTAACGGTGAAGTTCTAAATCACTTTTAAGCTAACAGCTTAAAGCTCAATCATCTACTTACCGTGCAACGGTATCCAACACAATAACCGTACCATCGTCATTTCCACCAACAGATACCAAACACTTTTCATCTGCCGTAAATGAAATCGATTGCACCAAGACCTTGTGGAGATCATGTCGAGTCAATTGCTTGCGTGCTGAAAAATCCCACATAATTACATAAGCTGGGAAGCCCATGTGATTTCGTTGACCCGAAGCTAAATACTGCCCGCTGCATCAGTTTGTGTAATGAATTATGTATTAATTACAAATTATAAATAACAATGAGCACTGATATGCTCGCCTACCTTTTGCTGATCGTCAGACAAGACACGGCATGTGTATGGCCGCTCAGGAACTCTTGTTTGTTGTTCATTGTATTGGCGATGCCAATCTTATTGCCCAGTGGATAGATCATGCTCACCTTATCCGGATGCAATTGATAGCCGTTTTCGACCTTGCCATTGGCGCCGAATATGGCGCGCGGCTCCAGCTTTTTT